TTTTGGGTTAAAATTTTCCGTCCCTGGTTATCCCGTCTCATACCCATTTTAAATAAAATAACAATTTTTTTATATAATTATAATTAGCAGAGAAGTGCAAAAATTTTCGTCCTAAAAATCCTGAACCAATTTTGAAAGTCTATAAAAATGACAAAAACGTCCTTGGTCTTTTTGAACATACTGAAATATTCTATGTTCTTGAAAATACTCTGTGTATGTGATATTTTAATTATTTTTTTATCATATGGTACGAATGAAGCGAGTCAAACATCATCTTTCTCCTGGCCCTGGCCCGTCGTTGGCCCTCATTTTAATCCGCAATAAGTATGTGTTAATACGTAATATAATGTTTTTGCGGTTTTGCGCCCTTGTTCGCCCGCATTCGATAATGCCGGATGATGCACTTTTGTTTTGTTTATGAAAACATTATTAAGGGAGAACAAATCACTTTTCGCAGACAAGTGAAAGAGGAGAGAGATGTGGGATTAAGGATTAAATCACGATGTTTTACCACATTTTCACATGGGACAAGGGGTGAAATTTAATATTTTGATGGAATTAACGGGCGGAGGCTGCTGTGACGTCAGTCTGTTCAAAAGTCGAAATTATAATGAAAAATATAAAGAAAATCACAATTGGTAACGGAAAATCATTTTATGATATTTAAGTTTATAAAAAAAATAATAATTCAAAATTGCCTGTGGTTTGAACTGGTTTAGAGTAACTTTCTTGTGTTTATTATGAAATTCTGCAGCATTCATAACATCTTTACTCATTTTTTTCCTTACTATATTATTCTATATAATATGAATGTATTGGCAACGTTTTTGCCAAAAATCTTGAATTGAATGTAAAAATTCGCAAATTGCTTATTTAATAATTAAAATAATTAAAATTTGCAAAACAAACACGAAGTGTGTTTTGTCCGTTTTAAAGTTTTTGTTCTAAAAGGATTTTCCGACAAGACACATTTTCTGGCTTGTCGGATTTTCTGTCGAGCCGGATTTTCTGGCGAGTTGGATTTTTTTAAAAAATTTTGTCCTTAATATGAATGTTTTCGAATTTCCTTGTTCCCAAGGTTGAAATGCTTCCAAATGGATGAAATAATAATAAAGATAATATTAAATCTAAAACTTGCAAAGATTTTTTTTATTAATTTGGAAGCATTTGAGCCCCTGGGAGCATGAAAATTCGAATACATCCATATTAAGGACCACCCTAATACATATATATATATATATATATATATATATATATATATATATATTCTGGTAAAATTTTGCATTTATATCACGGTGCCATCTAATAGAACAAAACCGAAGTGCACATCTACGATTTCAACCCTTACATTTTAGTACAATCATTTTTAATATTATGAAGTCTGCATTCTTTATAAATTAAAAAATTTTGTTTATTCACTAAATATCAATTACTATTAATTTATTATTTCATATTACTATCAATAATAATCATTTACCTTGAGTATCAGTGAACCCCAAATAAGGGTTCAAATACTATTATCCTTATCTCATAACAACAATCAATTTTCCTTAGAAGATTTCCAATTTTCTTATTTTTTCTCGCATATCAGTTTACTAAATATCAATTTATTTTCAATTTTCTGCAACCCAAGTTCCATGATACGATACGTCGATACGACCCTATTATTCATCCAAATAAGGGTGGAAAGGTCACTTTGTACGAGAACCTTGTTATACCCAAACGACGGTGAAATGAATAAAGGTATTGGAAAAAATTGATATGAGAAAGTTTAAAGATAAGAACTAAGATAGAAAGAAAATACTAAAGATAAAAACTGGATTGCTGCTTTTGCACTTATTCCGAAACGTCTGAACCTGCCTTTGCGAATTTTTGAAACAATTTATTTGCGATTACTATAACTTACCCTAAGGGTAGTTAATAATAATATTATTTATACCTCTTTAATATTTATTATATATTTGCCTTTAACATCTTATCATCTAAAAACATAGAACTCTTTAATTAACAATCAATAATTATAACAATATCATTTATATCACTTTCATATCCGAGTTCAAAATATCAGCAGGATCTTCTTCTTGTACATCGTCCTGACTGATAAATTTAGCTGATAGTTTAGCTATTTTAGCTGCTGCTTTAAATCTGGCAGCTGCTTTCAACTTTTCCAACTTTTTCTTCCACTGAGGGAAAAAGATACAGTATTTATATTAAGGAAAAAATGGTTATTATTATATTAATGTTATTTTGTCTATTATTTATCACTATTATTAACCTGTTCGTCTCTGCTAGGTAATGATGCCAAGTATTCTGTAACATGGGGTTGATTTGGATCAGCAATGGCCAATACACTAAGACAACCATCAGAAGTGCCAAGGACCACAGCTCGGCCATCCTCGGTGGAAGCTATAGCACTCAATTCAGCCTGGACCCTGTAGGTTGCTATCAGGTTAGTGTCTTCGGTCCTGGGGTAATAATAATATGTAAAGAATATTAATCCAGTTAAGGTAGAAATCATTTTTATGAAACTCTTACCTGAAGACTCTTAAAGTTTTTTTACCACTGTGATAATAAAGAACGTAGTCTTCGGTTTTGTTAAACATACAGATTATCGTGAATACGCCTTCGGCCACTTTTGGAATGTAAGTCTTTACAGTTTGGCCCTTGCGCAACTCTATTAACTCCAAGCCGCCCCTATAACAGAAATATAACTCCTACAATAAATGTAAGAAAAACATAACTTTTATTTTTGATTTTGGATGTTTCAGAGTGGTATCAAACACTAGACATAATTTGCCATTTTATAAATACACCGGTTGATCTTCATTCCATTACCTTGCAGGATAATACAATCCATGTTTTCCATCCTTGGTGCAACTTCCTCCCCATTTCGGGACTGTCCTTAAAATCCTTTTGTTCCTGATGTCAACTATGACTCCTTTATCAGATCCCAAAACTCCTGCCAAATGTGCTTTGTGTGGCATTCCAACTATCCTGGTAATTTCCTAATAAATAAAAAAAATTATAGGTTTAACCATTTTTCCTAGACTTTTTTCCTTTACCTTTATTCCGCAGTTTCTAACACCAATCTTCTGCACAGGTCCTGTACCATCTTTTGCGCTAAAAACAGCCAAACAGTCCTTGTTATTTTTATCGCTCATCACAGCCAATATGTGCTGATTATCCGAAGTCATCTGTAGTGGCCTAAATGGCACACCAGTTACAGAACGACTTTGGAATTGGAACGAATATAAAACTGTGCCATCTAAAATAACAAAGAAACAATTGTAATAATAATTTCTGATTTAGCTTGATATTAGGTTGTCAAATATCTCCCTTCCGCTTTTTTGCTATTGGTTTATAATACAAAAAGGCGGAAGGGAGATATTTGACAACCTTATATGTTGGAGGATTTTTTACCTGGTACGCTTCGCATGACAGCTTGTGCTGGAACTCTGGTAACATCACATCCAGGCGCATTTCCTGGTCTACTGACTGCCAAGGCACAAATGTTCTGACCGCTAGGATCCAGATGTAGAGACACCTGCCTGATGTCAGGTTGACGCGCTTTGTGGGTCACTCTTTCGGTGACCCTGTCCCAAATTATGAAGTTTCCTGATTCGGCGGATACAACATATCTGGGAAAATTGTGATAGTTGAGAAAATAAAGCTTTAGCAAATTTTGTGGTTCCGGGGCTTACTTTCCGTTGGGTGTTATCTCAGCATGAGTAACTATGGCTCCTAGAGGACTGTCCGCCAATTTTGATAGAAGTCTTCCTGTCTTCAAGTCCCAAACTCCAATACAAGCACGGGTGACGGTGACAGCAATTCCTGCTTCTTGAGATAAACTGCAAATATAGAGTCTACATTTTACGAATAGTACTTTATTTGCTCTTAACTTCTTGAGAGAAAATTTAGTTTTAACCAAAAAATCACAGATTTGTTCAAGTCATTTTGAAACGTTTGACATCAATTTGACAATATGTGTCTATTTACCTTATAGAGTCGATTTGTAGTTCATGTCTGTCTATAACGTGGACTTGTTCAAATATATTATTAATATTCCAAACTTTAACAGTTCTATCAATTGAAGACGTGATGACACTGTTCCAATTACCAATGGTTAGAGATTCCAGTTGCATGATGCGTCCAAAATGGGCATCCAAGGATTTCACCAGGTTTCCATCAGGAAGACTCCAAACGTACAGATTTTTCCTGAAACAAATTAATATAATTGCAGAGTTGTTGAAAAAATGACTGGTTATTTTTTATGCTCACCTGACTCCTGCAACTGCATAATCCTTATGAGCACTTAGCATAATGCTGTTGGATTGCAGCATTTTCATAGTGATATTTCTAACACCATGTGGTAATTTGAGCTGAATTGCATTTTCGCTAATTTTTGAATAAGTACTTCCGATGGCCGAATTCTCTTCCACACAAGAACCATCGGATTTTTCAGATCCCAAATCCCAGACTACAAAACCATTATTTGTAGAAGCTACAAGAAAAGTAATAATTATTGGTTCCAGTGGAAATGATTCTGTTTTCACTTCCAATACTGACCTAATAATATGGTATCATTTTTATCAAACTTCAACTGCAGCATCATTTCAGTCACATCGTTGTCAGTTCTTGGTAAATCTTCAACTTTTGTCCAAACTTGTGAGTCTTCACTAAGTTGATAATGACTGACTTGATAGCAATTGTTCATTGTGCAACAGTAGATGCTTTTTCTATCGGTGGTCATCACCATTGCACTACAAAAATTTGTTAGTAGTAATAAATATATTGTAGCAAATTGTAGTAGGTTTAAACAACCTGTGATAGTACAGTTTTTCGGCGGAGCCATTGGGATTGAAGGATTCTAAATACATTCTGTCATCATCTATATCTCCTGACCAGAAAAATATCCTATATTGCTGCAAAGTATCAAACTCCATCACTGGAATAGGGGAATAGATAAATATTTATCCATGTAAGTTGTTGTTAGCTAGATATATATTATTTTTTATGTGTGTTTGAATCCTGGTAATGGTCAATCCGCCATTTTGTGTAAGTCTCTATTTTTAGCAGCTTCAATTTAAAAATATCAATTAACTAGGCCAGAAAAATATGCTATATTGTTTATTCTAACACTGATATAGGGAAAGTTATAAATATTTATCAATAACAGTTAAAAAATATAATTTTTTGTGTATTTTTTAATCCTGGTAACTGTCAAACCGCCATTTTATGTAATTCTTATAGTCTCTATTTTCGACATTTTAAATTAAAAAATATCAATTAAAGTTGTTAATTATATTAAAATAATGAGAGTTTAAGTGAAATTAGCAGATTCTGAATATTATTTTAGTAAAAAATTAGCGCTTATTTATTTAAGAGTGCTTTTAACGTATTTTTGTAAACATCTGTGAAGTGGGGTGAGTTCATTATCAAGTGTTAAAAGTATTTGATATATTTTGTTTGAGTGTATGAGAATTAATTAAATGGTAGTGTAATTGATCTGTAAGTATTATTTTTATTAACTAATAATATATAAATATGAATTAATTTGAAATGATTTTGGTTTTAGATACATATTTCGCATGTAGTGGGTTGGTACTGCCGTATTGTAGAGACGCATTCGCTCTATTTCGTAACGTGTTCGTCGTCTCTATGTTTGTGAGAAAAGACTGCGAGCAAGACGTCAAAACGATGTTTTAGCAAATATAAACAAAGGACTTCTAAATAAAGCTAATAAGCCTTTATTTAGCACTCTTTATTGCACAATAAAGAACAACAAAAGAAATGAAACCACCAAAACATAATTAAACTATGTTCTCTCCACCGAAAACGTCATATGATTCACAAGACAGAAGCTGGCCTTCTTTTTAACAATTGTGGAGTGTCGTGCCAAATATTATACATAATTATTATTTATCTAGGATCTAGATTATTTCATTCTTGATGTTTCGTTAAGAAATATCATTATTTTAATGAAATCAACAAGTTTTGGGTCAAATGGGCAATTGTTTGACATGTCTCAAAGTGCCCTCAGTTCAATTAGAACAAACACAAGAAGCTTCGTTGCCTTTTGAACATGGAATACTCGAGAAAAAATCTGAAGGTAAAATTCATATTTTTTATATTAACCGAAATGCAATAGCTACTTAGTAATATACTGAAGTAATAAATAGGTTCACAGTCGTGCCTTATTATTAAATATATAAGAAATATCAATATAAAGCTCTAGTTATTCGACTTTAATAGATTTAGTTTCAGGGTTCAACAACTTTATTTCTCGTATTACAGTAAGGATTTCTGTGCTCACGTAAGGTTTAATTTATACCAAAAAGGCTGTGAGTTTTACAGATTATTATTAACCTATACTTAAAACTTATAACTTTCAATATCAATCATTGATTAGACTCCTAGTATGATTCATTTTGGTATTCTGAAATTATACTTTGTACAAAAGGTGTTCATGAATATTTTGTTGAATTATTTAATTCCACAATATATTTTAAATGCTTTTCTATTGTCATGGGTGATACATGTTGCTTCTTTACAAAAAATTATGAATATTTTTATACAAATTCTGATGTGTGCACTTTGTTAAGCAATAAGCATCATAAACTTCACATATTTCTTTATAAAGTGAATAACACCAATAATAACAATATTAATTAATGTATTTACCAGAATTATTATGCATCATTATCATTCAAAATAATAATCTGTTAGACCCACAGCCTTTTTGCTGAATTACATCTTTACAAGAGCTTAGGAATTATTATTGCAATAATAGAAAAAAAGTTATTTAGCTCAGATATTAAATTTGTCTATCAAAGACATTAAATAACTAAAATTTCATAATTATATTTTTTATATATTTTATAGTAGGGCAAATTTGTTCAAAATTGAGAAAAATAATATATAAATTATATAAAAATAATAAAATATTGATTTCTTATTAATTAAGTTGATTACACAATTTGCATCAAGTTATTTCTATAAAATAAGTGAACCAATATTAGTTTTTTAAACAATCTAGTTGCTGTATATTTTTTATAAGTCAGTATTTACTTTTATTTTTTTGTTTTTATTTGAAATAGAATTATTTTTTTATTAAAATATAAATTCTTTAGTTTTTCAAAAATTATTTTATTTTTATGGAACACATAGAAGATATTGGTAATGTATATATGTACATACAATTATTCCCTCGTATGATTTTCTTTTTCGCCAGAAAACTCTATTTGCTAATTTATGTTTTTTTGACGTTTCACATCATTCTGATTTGTTTGCCAGTGAATTTGAAAATACTATTTATGGGCTAATGATCTTTTGTTCAAGTTTTTACAAAAAAGGCTGTACGGATTTAAAAACTTTTAAAGTCATTCCATGAAATTCAATAAGGACTTGCTTTGATTATTCTTGCAAGACGATCAGCCAAGGCTTTTTTTTACAATAAGCATAAAAGTGTAACATTTTCCTATAAAATCAGTTGGGAGAAGTGTTAGGTAAAGATCACTTTTAGGTAAATATTTGCACAGTCATGAAGTTCAATGTCTAAACAAACATTCTGAAATATTAGAGGCCTATGAAAAGTGGTTGGATAATAAAAAATGTATTTATGAATATTTTAGCAACAGCATGAACCTTTTTTTTGTAATTAGCAATTCAAATTTTTGTGTAAATAGCTAAGTATCAGTTGTTACTGTTGAAGTGGATTATTTGGAACTTGAATGCAACTTGCCTAAAGGCAAAATGCCACTAATTGAATAATCCATCTCTTCCAGAAATGTCAGGATTGCTTGAAACCACAGCCCTGCCCGAAGGCAGACAAGTAACTCTCCACGAGCTCAGCAATGGTAACACATTCGAGAGCAGGTATCAGCAAAACACAGAAATCTCAGGAGGTTTGAAAACTAATTTCTATCAAAAAATTCCATCCTTGTCACTGACTAAATCTAGTGCAGCCGGTTACAACATGGGCTTGGATCAATCAAAGACCACGTCGGATGCTAAGATAATGCAACTGTTTAATTTTTATAAAGATCCTAACGAAGACGCCATTTTAGCTGAAGGCATTGAAAAGTTTTGTAACGACTTACAAATTGCACCAGATGATTTTAGGATTTTAGTGCTTGCATGGAAATTAGATGCCGAACAGATGTGCAAGTTTACCAGACAAGAGTTTACCCAAGGTTTAAAATCAATGAACGCCGATAGCATAAAATCTATTCAACATAAACTGCCTGAACTTGTTCAAGAGGTTGAAAGGAATCCTGAATATTTCAAAAGCTTGTACAGGTTCACTTTTAGATTTGGGTTGGATGTGGCCAACGGGCAACGTATTTTACCTTCAGACATGGCTGTTTTGTTATGGAAACTAGTGTTTACAATCTGCGAACCGCCAATTTTGCAAAAGTGGCTCGAATACTTAGAAAAGCATCCAAATGTTCGGGGTATACCCAAAGACACTTGGTACATGTTCTTAAACTTCTCAGAGACTGTTGGCAGTGATTTAAGTGGATACGATGACACCGAAGCCTGGCCAAGTTTATTTGATGATTTTGTAGAGTACGAGAACGATCAAACTAATCAGAATATTTCCAAAATTGAAGTCAAAAAACATGGAGACGAGGATGACCATATGGATTGCGGGGAATGATTAAAGCTTAAATTTTTTATTTGTGAGCATAATTATTTTCTGTACGTATTGTGGGAATACAAGTCTGTACTTATCAATTTTTAGCCATTATTAATATTGTTTTTAAAGTGTTGTGATTCATTATTCACAAGTAATTTTTTTAATAATAATTTGACTTGCTTGGAATTGTATTTATTAATTTGTTTATATACGAATGAATGTATATATCTTAACGTTCTTAAATAATACTTCTGATCTTTTTGTGATAATTAAAATTTATATATATATATATATATATATATATATATATATATATATATATATATATATATATACATATATATATATATATATATATATATAATATATAATATATATAAATGGCTAATGGTTTTATTTTTCTGTGCTAAAAGCCTTGTTTTCGTTCAAAAACGTTATTTATTTTTCATTTATAATTATTTCTATGTTTCGGAGGTATACACTCTCCTTCAAGAACTATTAAAAACAAACATTTTTTTTTATATGTTCATACTTTTTTTAAATTATCTTTAATTAAGAAGAGTTTACTTTTTACCTTCAAAATGTTAAATCAAAATTGTTTCAATACATTAAATTAAGTTATTTTTGTTGAAATAATTATAAATGACAAATTAAAACAGAAACATTTTGAAAAGAGACTTTTAGTTCAGAAAAATAATATCATATATTGATATATACATATATATGTATATATAAATATATATATATATATATATATATATATATAATGCATATATAAGCTAATAACTGAGTATAAATGATAGAATATAAATGTGTGTGTGTATGAGAGTGTGTATATATGCATGGTTATGTATATATACTTCTATATGTTCAAATAAAATATATTTGTACCAAAACATGTATATATATGGAAAAAATATAATAAAAAAATCCTAATAAACCGGTTTATGATTTTTCCAAACTTCAGGTGTTTTTATATTGCAGCCAACAGAATCTCATTGGATTAGCAAGTTAGTATTTTTTACTCACTCAATATTTGCCATTCTTCTCCTTGTTCTTCTTCACCAACAGACTCTTCTTTTTTAGGTATTACAGTTTTCGTGTCTTCAAGTTCACCTCTGGTGGAATATCGAACCCATGTTCTGGAACCATGAATTATCAGGTGCTGATTCAACAAACACAATCCTGTGACAGACTCGTCTTCTTGTAAGGGATTCGGTATTGTTATGAATTCACTTGAGAGCATGTTCAGGAGCACTGTCTGAGGTAATAAATATATATTTATATACAGATACATATGTATATCAAGTATTTTATCTTCTACCTCATTATTGTTGGTGTATGCTGCTGCCCATTTGTTATCAGGGCTTAGCACCAGTTGCTGCATTATTCCTTCGACTCCTGGTGTTACATCACGTGTCATGTCACTTGTGGCAAGATCCCAAGTCACAAATCGAGTGGATATGGAGACTATGTAACGAAAATCGGACGTGACACGAAATGCAAACACTGCAAACTGATGACCTTCCAAGGAGTACTAAAGAAAGAATCATAGATATTTTATCATGCTGGTAAAATCATAGATCTACTAATGAATTGATTACTGTTACCTTAAGGGTCCGCCAGGAGTGTGCAAGCAATGATATAGAGGTATCAAAGCGCAATGTCGTGGTCCACAAGAGTCACAAGCACTTAACAACATCCTATAATCGACAGTAATATTAGACATAAAAGGAATCATTGTTTATGAACGTACTTACTTCACATTGGGATTTCCACCAATTTCTGGTAAAAGTCTACCGACTAGTTGTGGAGCCAACATATCAGGATATGCAGCCAAAACTGCACCACCCAAACGTAAGGCGTCAGCAACCAACATTAATTCTCTAGAAATTGTTTAAAATAGAAAATAAATTGCTTGGTTTTGGTTATATATTCATTTACCTTTTAGAGTCTTTGTCGTCTGTGTTTACTGAAGCATCTTCAAAATCTGAGAGAACTGCTTGCAGAGGACAACTTGACAGTTTTGCATGAAGCCAATCGTAGTTGAACAAAACATTTGAATACAAATCCTTGAATCTGCGTGCTCTCACCAAATGGTAAGGCAATTCACCAAACTATAAAATATAAACAAAAGATTTTGTGCACAAATCAAATATTTGTGACTGTATCTTGTTTATTACCTTTCTTAAGTTATACCGGGTGACCTTTCCTTCCTTGGACAGAAACACCAAAGGTTGCACAGGCACTTTTCGATCAGCAACACCTTCTTTATCAGTTAAATTGAACCTGAGTAATATTGTATATGTTAACAAAAGTTGTCTGAATAATCTTGTGATATAATTTTAACCTGTGTCTTTGTATTTCTGTGAATTTGAAAGGTTTAGGCACACCGCCTCCCCAAATGCCCAAATAGTAATCAGCTATAGATGAATGGAAATATAAAGCCATGTTCATGTTTTTGAAGTAACGTTCTTTAGCAGTGTCTCTGAATTGTCTGTGATACCTGAAAAAAATTATACCATACATCATGGTATGAATTATTTCCAAGAATGTAGTTTTCTCACCAGTTCATGACATTGACTCCATCAGCTTCTCGTTCACTAAGATAATTAGGCAAATCATTCCTAATTCTTGTCCATAGCAAAGGTGGAATTCTCCTGACTGGTGGCAAATGGTACTGGTACACATCATCCAATACCCTATCATCCAGAGATATCAAATCTTCCAGCTCGCTTTCTGATAAACCACTTTTGGAAGCCGTTATATGCCAAATGCAGCGTGGAACACCAATATCTTTCCATGCTGTAATATAACACATGTGTTTTACCATTGTTTTATCATGTTGTTTTGATTTTAACCCACTTGTTTTTCTATTCGTTCAAAGAGCATCATGATGGAGTCCATGACATTGTTGGCCAAGTGTGTCTCTGTCGGCTTGGTGTAACTTCTCTTCTCCAACGACAAATCTCGGCGAAGACCAGTTTAACGAAAATTGGCAGAGAACATTGTCCAATTGCGTTGGACACTAGGCGCCATTGGTAGTTGTTTAAATCTCTGCAGGCTGTTCTCATCCACATTCTGAAAAAAATAATACTTAGTTGATCTGGATCGGAAAATGTACCAATTTGATTAATAGTATTTATACCTTATTACTTCCATGGCCAAATCTTCTCCCAAAGCCTTGACTTCAATGAAGTTCTGTTCATCATCAATCATTCGTCTTAATATGTGATAATCTCTTGATACGTTCATGTTGTTTTCTTCGGCAACTGTTGACACCCATCAACTGCACAAAGCAATTAATTAAAAACAATTATAATAAATAAACTAATCTTTTATAGGTTTACCTACCTTGCAATGTGGTGGCAATCTGTAGGCAACCAGGACACTCTGTTATCCTGCACGCCTGTCAATTGATCCACAGAATCCAGGAAAAATATCAACGGTTGCTCATGACTAGCATAGTAAGTAAATGCTTGAAATGGGCTGTCAACGGTACCAGGTCGTCTGGTATGTTGTCAAAGGGCAACATGTAGTTGTAGGATATCTAAAAAAATATAATAGAAAGAATATTTTGTGATATGTACTTTTATTATATAACATTATTATTACCTGTTGGCAGATGGATATCAACGTTGGTGTCAAGGCGCTGGAATCTGGTGTAGTTCCTAAAAATCTAACAATGCTTACTGGTTTAACATCTGCAAACCAAACCGTGTTAGCCATGGCTGCACTTTTGGCCAACAGGGACGTTTTGCCACAACCTCCAGCTCCGTACAAGACCAAAGGTTTATCTGCATCAGGATCTAACATGTAAGTCTCCACTCTTTGGAGATCATCTGCTCTTCCATAAAACACCTGGAAACATATAAGTCATTATTTTTTATATTTTTAGATGGTGTTTTCCAGTCCACCTTGACAGAGTTGTTGCAAGCGTGCAGATGTTGCAGTATCTCAGTAACAATTTGCCCTTGAGCACTGCTGTCTTCTTTCCTCATGGCACGGTCCACAAGTTTCAAGATATTTTTATAGAAATGGCAAATGAAACTTTGTAAATAGCATCGTGGGTTTCTGTGTCAAGGCCTTCTCTTCCAATCCATTCTACAGTATACCTGGAATAAAAGAAGATAAGTGAAGGTGAGTTTTTAGTAAATAACTATTACTCTTGTTGTCGTACTTTTGGATGTTTGTGCTTTCAATTTTATCTGGTAACCTCTCGTCTCTTAAATTGGCAAGTAGTTTGCATGCTTCTGTGTCCAGACTTCTGTTCAAAATGTCGATAAAAAGACCAGCCTTCTTCAAATTCTGGAGATTTATGTTGTTAATGTACCGGACATAAGCCAAGCAATGGTTTTTGGTGTTCTTTACATTCAGGATACCATTTATCACTTCACGTTCAGTAACTTGAAAGGAAAAAGACATAAATGACTATTTTGTCATATTTTAAGTTTTCAAATCAATTACCGGACATAAAATAATTGTGCATTGTGTCTTTATCAATTTTTCCAGCATTGTACAAGGTGCTTGCTGCTTTTCTGAATAACTTCTGCATTTTGTTCAAAGTGTCCCACCATATTGCCTGATCTTCAGCTTGTAGTTTAGGAACTCTCTGAAAAAAAAAATCAGTCATTTGGTCAGGAACTATTCTGGTGCTCATAATTTGTTAACAAATCTTTAATCTCTTACCTTATTATTGAAATTGATCAGAATACTTGAAATCGGTTGCAAAACACTGACTGGAGGAACTGCGTTGCCATCTTTTCTATACCAAGTATCCAACAATTGGACATCCACACCCGAATTTGCTAAAAAATATATAAAAACCATTATCACATTCTATATTTTAATCAAACTACTCTTTTACCAAGTTCATCTCGAAGCATTTGTAGTTCTGAACTCAGCACATAGGTAGGAATAGGTCTGTACCCATATTTTGTCCCAGAAAGACCACAAAATTGGGCCCCATTGATAATCTCTGACAGTTTCTCGATTCTTTCATACACAATTCGGTTGTCATGTGATCGTCTGTGGCTTCATCTCTTACGCCCCATCTCATGTCGACCACCTGGGAGAAAATAATAAATTAATGGATAAGATAT